GAAACAGATCAGCAGCAACATGAAACAGATCAGCAGCAACATTGAAATTGATCAACAGCAACATTGAAACAGATCAGCAGCATCACGATGTGATTTTTTAAATTCTGGCAGAGTGGAAGCAGCTTTCTGTGTGTTTCGGCTGATTTGATGTGCTACTGGTGCTACACATTGTTCTGCTTATTTAGCTGAAACAGAACGAGCAAAGCTGCAGACAGAAGTTCAAACAGGCAGGAGTAACTCCGACCAAGAACAGGACACATAGCTGCGCTTGCACAAGTCCCAGTTGGAGTGTGGGCGGAGCCACAGCTGAACTGAGTCTGGTAATCCATGGAGCTGAGGGAAGATGACTGAACAGGAAACTGGCGGCTACTGAACAAATGCTGGGGACAAACAGAAAAGTGCCAGGAGTTATTGAGACCAAAGGTGAGGACTCATCTAGACACGATGGCTTATTTCAAGGTCTCCTTTGATTTCATCAACACAGAGACACGGAAGTCTACGGATATGCTCCTGTACAAGAACTTCCTGTCCAGGTGAGGTTCCAGCTCAGTCCTCTGCTCTACATCCACGAACAAACAACTCTGTTTCAGAAACGCTTCCTGTCTGTCGGATCAGCTCGTTTCTCTCCACACTCTGAGTTTCACTTTATTTCAGGAGTCGTCAAACGTTTGCTCGTGAAGTCCAAGGTCCAATCTGACGCTCCTTAATGCCACGTTACCATGCGGGGCTCAAACCTGTGACCTTTTCAACTCTGTGCTCAGAAGAAACAGAACCAGATCTGGTCCAGCTGGTTTGTGAGAACCAACGATCCCAGAGAGTCAGAGTCCTACAGAGTCCTGGTGGGATCAGTGATGCTCAGACCAAACCACCGAGGTGGGTGTCGGGCCTGAGGCTGGACTGGGAAACCCCGGACCTTCGACCCGTCTGCTGCTGTCGTCAAGTGAACGTCTAACAGGAGTCCAGAAGAGCTGAAGGTCCAGAATGTGTGGGCACGCTCAGTATCATTTGGAAACAAGTCCAAGTGTTCCTCAGGGTTGGATCCTGGTTTGGTTCAATGTTTGGACGTCACCCTGAGGACTTCCTGTGCCGTGAGTTCAGCTCTGCGTTGCAGTTTCCTGTGCTCATAGTTATTCTGAAGATGTTTCTACAAACACTGGTCCAGCTGCTGGCTTCTAGGATGGACTGTCCGCTTCAACCATTCCTCTGCTCCAACACGTCACATCTTTACATCAGGGGTTGGAACATCTCAAACGTGCACGACGCTCTTTGACACAGTCTTTGTTGAATCATCTTCTGAGCCCAAACCTTCATTTCAAGGTTTTCCTTTGACCTGGTCCATGAGAACACTCAGAGACTGGATCTGGTTCTGCTGGTTCATCAGAGATGCTCATGAGGTCTTCAGACTTCCATCTGCATCTAAACCATTCATCATGCAGAAATAATAAATCATGCAGACCAGCGGACTGATGAACTCACAAACATCTCAACAGCTACAGGAAGTAGAGAAGGTCCACCATCAGAACCGGTTCCTCGCTGGCGGGCTGTGGTCTGTATTCAGGAGGTGAAAGCTCAGCGCCGTGTGTTCGGGACCTTCATGTTCTGTTTCTCCTCAGACTCGAGCTGAGCTGAAGGTAAAGTCCCTCTCTGACAGTCTGTGAGTCAGCAGACTCCTACGGTAAATTACAGAACCACGCCGAGGTGGTCCGAACGTAAACACCCGGGCTTTTATTAAAGAATCTGCTTCACTTTCATGTTTTCAACATTTCATGGCCTTAAAAGGCTCAGCGTGGAGCTCCAGGAGGCGCTGCTCCGTCTCCGTCCAACACTGATGGATCTTTGTGTATAAACTGGAGACACTCATCTGCGTTAATCAGAGGTCCAATGTCTCCGCCGGACCGGACTCCAACTCCTGCATGAGTCTTCAAAGTGTCAAATACACATGAAGTTTACTGACGGAGCATCTTAAAGGCTCAGAGCTCTTTATTTTGTTTAGACTTTTGGCTTTAAAGATAGAATTTACAGCTAGCTCTCCTCAGAAGATGCTGAAGAAGCCTCCAGCTGAGGTCTGTGACCTTCAGACCATGACGTCCAAACAAACCCTGAAAACTTCAAATGGGCTGGTCCAAACCGGAAAACAACAACTCAGAACTAGAGAAACTGAATTTCACGTGAAAATGCAGCATGAACGCTTATGGCTGAGAAACAGCTGAAATAAGCTACAAACATGCTGAAATGTAGCTGAAATTTAAAAACAAGCCTAAATAAGCAGAAGAAAAGCAGAAAAACACATATTTGCTGAATGTGGTTTAAATATGCATAAATGGGCTAAAAAGTTGTGAAATTAGCTTAAAAAAGCTGAAATTAGCAATAATAGCTGAAAAGTAGCTGCAAAGGCAGAAAAAAGCTTAAACTAACAGAATGAAGTGGAAAGAGCTGAAAAAGCCAAACTTAGCATAAAAACAGCTAAATAATAGCTGAACTAGCAGACAAAGCTGAAACTTTCAGAAATAAGTTGAAAGGACCATAACAAGCTGAAATTAGGGATACACCATCCCGATACCTAAATCTGGATATCAGCCGATACCGATACTATTCCAATATCATCATAGATTTTATGAGGCTGTAATAATCTCCTCTCAAGTACAATTTGTACAAATACATGCATGCATGTCCAAAAAGGCAACTTGAGGTAAGTTTTATTAATGTTGGATAAGTTTCAAAGTTAGAATGAAATCCTGCTAACACAAAACATGTTGTTTTTTTATTCCTATCTTTAAAGTGGATATTAAAGTGATTAAATGTTTTCAAACATCTGCTAAATTCATGGCATAAACCAACAGACATGTTCCTGTTTGTAGTATTTTACATCGCTTTGTAATATAGCTGTTTTAGTTTCGTTTTTTTATGTATCGTTTTCTTTTATTTTTCAATTCATGTTTTTTAAGTCTACTGTTGTACTGATAAATGTTTCCTGGAGGCTAAATGTGAATTTAAACTAGATCTTGGCTGCAAACATTCAATCAAGCTGTGAAGCAGACAGTCTGATTTCAGTCTGCAGACAGTGCACGTTGCTGTCTTGTGGTGTTTAGTGTAAAATACTTCCACACAGCGACATGTTACAATGAAAAGTGTGTTAGCTGTTAGCTACAGTGCTGCTCAGTGCTCATGTTGTAGCTGCTGCAAACTATGAACTGGATTTCCTGAATGTGAGGCGGATCTTATTACTCTGGTTCATGAGACACGCCTCCGCTCAGGAAATCCAGTCCATAGTTTGAAGCCAACCTGCAGAGCAGCTGGCAGGGAATCACGTGGAGGAGAAGATTCAGAAGACAGACATGAATCATGGATCAGAAAGATCAGCAGGTTGGATCAGAAAGATCAGCAGGTTGG